ACAAATCTTCCCTAGCTAAGCCCATAACAGATATAGATCACAGAACACAGATCATTAACAACAAAGGAATCATAGCCGGTATTTTGTCATTTGGAGGTTTATTTTCCAAACCAATAAAGTGGAGCTAAGGAGAAAGAACCACCAGGTGTTGGTGCAGTTAGACACAGCTTGCTGTTATGTTCAGGGGGATGAAGATAGAAGCTTTTTCTATGAAAGAAAATTCTCACAAATCATTATCTTGGCTGCATGTATCCCAAACTAATTAACTTGTCCATCAGCTTCTTTTCAGCATTTGCCTAAAATCCCAAGAAAGAAACGGGCAAATGTACAATCAACGATATCATGTTCAAAAGCATGCAAGAATATGTCACAGCAGATGAAATTATTAGACAATGCTCCTCTCTTTACTTGAATTGGAAAGAGAGTGTAGGCCTATTAGAGCAATTAACCAGCAATATGCTTGTCTTCCCACCACTCTCACTCACATGGGAAAGTTATTGGTCTACCAATGGTTAAAATCCGTTAGGTTTTCCCACAAGTCTGGCTATGGCTTCAGGCCAAAATTTAAAAACTCGTGTCAAATGCAAAATGAAAATCTTAAATTGTGAAGGGAATGTGAGAATACTCAAAATGTGAGAATACTCAAACAATCAACCTCTCCAATACCAGTACTGGGTGAAAACAGGGACGGAGGATAAGTGGGGCTAGGAGGGGCCATCGTACCCCCTAAGCTCTTGAAAAAAAATTAATATATGTCCTATAGTCCTAGTTATTTATAAAATTATTAAAATATCTATTTGAAAAAACCATAATTCTAGCCATGCTCGTTCATTTTTGCTTTTTTCTCCAAGTCTTTAGTAAATTTAAGATTACTCTATTTTTGCATGATATACAATAATACAAGTTGAAAGTTCAGAGTTTACATAAATTACCTTACAAGTTCTCTATTTCATAATTTTAATTTTTGGGTTTTGAATTGGAGGCTAGTCAAAATACTCTACTTTGTAATTTTAAGCATACTCTACTTTTGCATAATATACAATAATATTAGTTGGAACTTCAAAGTTTACATAAATCACCTTATGAGTTAAGCATAGGTTTACTTTTTGGTTGGAAGTTTCAAGTTTTTTTTTTTTTTTTCAAAGAATGGTTAGCTCTTTTCTTTATTTACTTCAAAAGAAAAAAATCCCAAAAAGAGTAAATACATTTAGGATAGATGCTCAAGGCAATAGGCCAATCAATTGTAAATTCAAATTTTGAGCAAAATGATAACAAAATCTCTCCAAAATTTATAATTCACATGCCAAATTGTAGAAGATGACAGGAAAAAATCAGAAATGGAAGAAAGAAAAAAAGGAGAAATGTTATGAGGGTAAATTTTGAGTTTCTTATTAATTAGAGTAGTTAGAGATTCCATTACATAGAATGTATGTGTGTGGTATGGTTTACATTATTTTATATTTGGATATCCCTTACATCCCTTACATAGAATGATTTTTTTACTTTTTTTTTTAACTTATAATAAATTTTGGTAGATAATAATTGCTTAGTGAAATTATGTTAGGTATGTTATATACTTATATTTGCAGGTTATAAAAAAAAATTTTTTGGCCACCCCAAACATTTTGCTCAAGCTCCGTCCTTGGGTGAAAACAAAACCAAGAAAAAAATAAATAAATGACAAGATTCTACCAACAATAAACTTCAATGCATTATTATGATATATGATAAGAGACAGAAAGAAAGGTAGAGGAACATATCAAACCTCAAGCATGGGGCTATTCTTTGGGATACTGCAGGCAAGAATTATGTTAAGACCACTTTTTAACACTGCCATGGAAACAAAAAAATTGCATTTACCCCACAATCAAAAGAAATATAAAAAGAAACCAAGCAAAACACATTAATACAAATTCACCTAATCGCCTAGCGATTCCAGACCCAGTGTTATCTGAAGAACCTCCAAGAATGGAAGTCACACCGACCGTATTGCTCTGTTTCCTCCATCAAAACATTGACTACTTAACCACTATTCATTATCGATTATTAATCCCTGAATTTTGAAGGTTATAATCTTACAGGTCATGTCGATGCAGCTGTGTACAAGTCACCGAATTTCGTAGAGTTGCAACCGATCCTGTTTAGGAATTAAAAAGCGATCAACTTCTGAATATTAAAAAAGGTAAGAAATTCAGCTAATTAAATATCGATACCTGTTTAGGGAAACGAATGATTTGGAAGTGGAAGGTAGCGTCACCGACGAGCTCGCTAAAGCAAGTGACTTCAAGACCACCAGCAGCGGCGTTGGCGGTGGTGCTAGGGTGCGTCGACTGATCTTGGAGTTTGAAAGACTGATCGGAGACTAGGTTCGAGTCAGAAGCACTGTCGTACTCAGATTCTTTTTCAGCCATTGTCGTAATGCTGAAGCTCGAGCTGATGACACCGGGAGAAAGCTCTCACTGCTCTGGGGTTTATTCCATTTCGTGTTGCTTATCGCTCGGATCAGGAAAGAGGAAGAAATGGATAGGCCCAAACTAGAAGCAAATAGAGGCCTAATTTGAAGCCAAAAGGCCCAAAAGACATAAAATGGACTCTACTTTTTTTCCACTCAAAACGCAACCTTAAACGCCGTTTTTTTCTTCTTCGGTTAATACCACAACTTATTGCAACAGGATCAGCTGAGTCTCATTATTTCAGTCTCAAATGGTTATAAATTTAAAATATCAAATTTAAACTTAAGAGATTACGAAAAGAGGAAGATTAGGTTCAATTAGTTATATAGTCTCTCCTCTGATATCCAAAACAGAAAAGAGAAAAAAAAAAAAAAAAAGCATGATTAGCTGAGGAATCAAACTTTAATATCTACATGCATTGAGGTTGTTTCTTTAATTGTTTTAAATTACGATGTCAAACAACATTTTTAAGGATGTTATGATGTCTTCTCTCAGGCTTTTAGTAGTCTATGCATTCAAATAAAAGAAACTACAAAACAACATATTATCCTTATAAATTGATTTCAAAGGAACACAAGCTACTAATTTTTTTTTTTTTTTCAGAATACATGACATTGTATTACAAATGGTCAGACTGATTAACGATGAGAAGGGAGAATTGAAAACAAAGTTTGCAACAAAGTACATAGAAGCAAAAAGATCGCAGTAGTAAAGGAAATAAATGCCCCTGGAGTGTTAAAGTAATCGTGCCGTATGATTGCCATCTGCTTGTTCCAGTTTCTGTTGCAATGTGCGTTCACTCTTTCGAATATCTCGGAGTACATGAAATCATCTTCAGAGATCAAAACAGAGTCGCGGAGTCTGTTAAACATGGTGGCAACGACTTCATGTTCACCCAACCGATTTACAAAAACTCCACAGCGACAAAGTAATTCAACGTCATTTCCTGTGTTGATGAGGCAATCCATAAATGTAATATAATCCGTGAAGCATTTTAAAGGAATGCCCTCGTAGCATTGTTCATAAGCAACCAAGTTTCGAAGGATGAATTCTGTATCATCAGTGATTGTTAGGGCTGGAATTGTCATCACCCCCTTTTGAAACCATATACCAAAAAATTCCCCCCAATTTTTCTGAAACTTGATCCCGGCCTCATTGAGCTCAGTTGCAGAACGAATGAATTGCACTAAGTTTCCTCCTGGCCGGGGCGACAAACACGGGTAGAAGTAGTCATGGAGCACGTCCAGTAGATGCTTGACGTTTTGATTTCCGGTACGTCGTTTAGTTCGAACTCCTCGATTCATTCTACCGAAACTTAGTGGCATCATCATAATGAAGAAATGCATTACTTCAGCGGGAGTAAGGTCTGGCTGACCAGACAGGGACCATAACTTGGAGAGTACAAAGAAAGGAAGCTGATTTTCAACTAGCAGCAGATCACGCATTACCTTTCTCAAACTAAAGGGTGTGAGACTACGTTTTGCCTTTAGTTTGCACTGCATAATAAGCTCAATGATAAAGCATCCATCAAGAAGCATTATTCTTACAAAATTTTCTCTACCAATATCATCCAGGGGTTCAGAATAAAAATTGCGAGCTTCTTTTTCCATTTCTTGCAAGGAAATCACATATCTCTCCACTTTTTGTTCGCCTCCTCGGTTAAGAAGCATTGTTAGATGATGCAGTTTGTTAACCTCCATTGCCTTCAGGTGATCTTTACCATGGTGGTAAGGGCCAATAGAGATCACTTCAGGTTCATAGGCCTTTTCATTTATCTGGCGTAATTGATTAGGCACTTTGAAAATACCACAGCTTGAACTGTCTCTTAAAACAATATCTTGGAGCTCTCGATTTATTCTATTGCGAAGAGCTTGGTCTAATAATCCACCTGCCATTACTGCTTCAAAAAAAAGAAAAAAAAAAAAAAGAAAAAAAGGAAGAACAATCACTGAAAACTTCTACTCATTTGTCCAAATGGAAAAAGAACAATAAATTGAACCAGTTACCGTTTGAACATGGGGAAATTGGGAGAAGGGGATAACATCACAAGAATTTGAACCATGTTGTTACTCATGGTCTAACATGCACCCTACCATTGCAGCCACTGCTGCAGGTGCAATAGAACCAGTTAGGTCTAGCCTGGTTTGGGAGAAGGCAGGTCTCAGGGACCGTCCAATTGCCATGTAGCATTTGGTACTAGTATGCGTTCAACGTGGACTTCTAAAATAACACATTTTTTATTGCAAAAAGAACAAGGCAACATCAAAAGGGTCAAAAAAAAGAAAAAAAAAGGAAGAAGCTAAGGCAAATATCCTTTTCTAATGAGTTTAAGATTTTTCCAGATGCTTGTTAATTTGTCTAAATGAAAAAAGAAAAGTAAAGTGAACCAGTTAGGTCCAGCCGGTTCGGGAGATCGTCAAGTTGTATTGGGTACCAGGGTGTGTTGGACTTCCATTCTTTATTGCATAAAGAATAAGCTAACGCAACATATATATATATATATATATATAAAATTAAAAACATCCAAGTAACGTTGGATTCCATCCAATCCAATCCATTTCTTACTGGATTGGTTTCGGTCTACCCATGGTCCCATTTTTCACGTGATAACACCATCTATCACCTCCAAATATGTGCAGCATTTCTTCACATTCATTTCTTTATCTTTTTTTGGAACCGTTGATTTCTTTAATTTTTTTCTTTCTTTCTTTCTTTTTTTGGGACACTCGTTTCTTTATTTATTTAAAATTAGAAGTTGTAAAATTTTCAGTTGACTTATAAAAATGTATCTATAAAATTAATTAAATATCCTTCAACATGCAAGAGAATTTATTAATAAATTTAAATACTTTAACGGGTATTTTTACTTTTTTTTTAAAAAAAAAATTTACTTGAAAAATATTTTTTGGTTTTTGAGACAGAGGAAGTACTATGTTTATTCCAAAATAATTATTGTTTTTGCTTAATCTAGATAAAATTGATTTTAAATTTGGTAAAAAAAATTATTTTAGAAGAGATAAGAGTATTTGGAAGCCAAAATTAAACACTAAAATTAACAAATTGTTGAATATACAAGCATTAGATTTTTATAAGTTAAGTTCATATTAATGGTGAATAAGAAAAAAAATAATTTTATTATTTTTAAACATATTTAAAAATGAATACAATTAATCTGATCATATTAAAGACGAATAAAAAGAAAAAAAATTGATAAAATAATTTACAAAGTTTTATAAAAAAATTCACGATTTTAGTAATAGGTAATTTTGTTTTAAAAATTGAATGATGAATTGAATAGAAAAATGTGAAAACTTAGATGAAAAAACATAATCAGACATATAAAAAATGCGGAAATGTTAAATTAGTAAGAAAATTATACATTTTCCGTTAAATTTTAGTAATTTTAGTTTAATATTTTGATTTTTAGACATTAAATTTATATGAAAATATAAATAATTAATTTTTTTTATCAAATAAAAATATTCAATAAAAACTATG